GGGGGGGGGGGGGGGGGGGTTCGGGAAAAATTTTGAATTCTAGAAGCTCCGAGGTGCATTCTGATAGATTTGGAGAGAATTAATTGCTCTTAAAAAATGACATATTTTTTTATTCATTTTGTTTCTATTTAAAATTTGAAACAGATTCTTTACAAAATGTAAGATGAAAATCATTGACAAGGTTAGAATTTTTGAAATCACAATTTTAATAAAGTTTAACAAGGTACTGTATGTACCACCAAATCAATCTCTTCTTTGTCCACTTCTCCATTCTGTGACAGAGGGGTTACTGAACTTGGAGATATAGAACTTGACAGGAACAGGGAGGCAGTAAAGGCAATATTTATGTGTGTTGACTTGGCAATTTGCGAGACAACAGAAAAAAAGGAGCATTTCCTAGTTGACCTTTGGGACATGAAAGACTAATTGGATGTGTCACAGGTGATGTATTTGTCATACAACAGTGTCACGCAGATGTGTGTCTCACAACACTATACGAAAAGCAAATTCCTATTCTGAAAGATGGTAAAGAGTTTTTACACTCCTAGCAGATAAAAGCCCAGATCAGGCACACACAAGTCAACTAAGCAAATGAAGGGATCGTCTCTGTTTCCACAAGACTTTGTAGCTTCCTTGGATGCATCACTTATTTTAGTCAGTCCTTTGGAATCAATTTTTCTGATGTTTTTAATGAAGTATTTTGAATTATGAGACATGGTGTAGAACCAGATGTCACCTGCGAATCAAAGCAGTTGTCAATTTGACGCTTGAAATTTCGATGACCGTATCAAACGCTATCATGACCTAGATTCGAATATTCAGATTTTACTTCTCTCCCCTTGCTCAGAAACGGAAAATTGATGGTCCCTAGTTTGTTTTGAATACAGAATTTTGGGAATGATCTCAAAACCAAGATGGCAGACAGGCAGACATCTTGAATTTGAGAGTTAAAGTTTGTTAGCACTACCGGTATATCTCAGAACATACCTGAGGGATCGTTCTCAAATATCATGTGAAGGTTCACCATGGTCCCTTGTTGTGCATATGAAATTTTGGGGCTGGTCACAAAATCAAAAGGGCCAACAGGCAGCCATCTTGAATTTGAGAGTTAAAGTTTGTTATTTTGTTAGCACTATTTTTCAGAAAGTACCAGAGAGAATGTTCCCAAATTACACATGAAGGTTTCCCATGGTGCATAGGTATGCTTATCAAATTTTGGGACTGATCACAAATCATGACGGCCGACAGGCAGCCATCGTGAATTTGAGAGTTAAAGTCTGTTATTTTGTTAGCACTATTTCTCAGAAATTACTGTAGGGATGTTTCTCAAATTTCACATGAAGGTTCCCGTTAGTCCCTAGTTTGTTTTGAATACAGAATTTTGCCCAGGGACTGATCACAAAACCAAGATGGCAGACAGGCAGACATCTTGAATTTGAGAGTTAAAGCTCTGTTTCTCAGAACCTACCAGAGGGATCTTTCGCACATTTGATATGTAGGTTCCCCTTAGTCCTTAGTGGTACATGTTAACTTTTGAGAGTGATCAGAAGAACAAGAGGGCTGTCAGGCAAACTAATCAAACATAAGAGAAAAGAAAAGAAAAGATTGAACTGACATAAAACTAATGATGATGGTATGATGGTGGGTTGTCTTTAAATTTGAATGTTGTTCTGCAACAACTAAACCCTTACGACCAAAGAAATTGTACGATAAGGCCAATTTTACAAAAATAAACAAAGAAATTACGAAATTTGATTGGACCGAACGTTTTAAAGAAAATTATGTAAATTACAGTTGGCAAATATTTTACAATATACTCATGGAGCTTGAGGAACAACATGTACCTATAAAAATACCACTAAGAAGAAAAATTATCAACAGACGCAAAATGTAATCTAAAAGCAATTTGGAGATACATCTGATCAAAGTCAAAAATGAAAGCTTAAATTGCAGAAACAATAGCATCACCATAAGCAAAGGTTTACTGTACCAGATGATTGGAAAAAAGCTCAGATAGAAGCAATTTTTAGCTCACCTGGTCCGAAGGACCATGGTGAGCTTATGCCATACCGCAGCGTCTGTCGTCCGTCCGTCAACATTTCCTTTAAAACGCTACTGACTCTGAACGGCCAAGTAGATTTTGACTACATTGGTCTGGATTATCCTTAGGCCAAGGGGACACAATTTTGTATAAACGGTGGGTGTGGAACCCCTGGGGGCAGAGGGGCGGGGCCTAATAGGGGAAATAGAGGTAAAACCTTGAAAATCCTTCTTCTACCGTAGTGATTAAGGGATTTTATCCTAATTTAGTCTAGAGCATCCTTGGGCCAAGGGGACTTTTGTATAAATTGTGGGTGTGCCCCCCCCCCCCCCCCCCCATGGGGGCTGAGGGGCAGGGCCCAATAGGGGAAATATAGCAAAATTATTAAAATCCTTCTTCTTCTGTAGGAGTACAAGGATTTGTTCCATATTTGGTCTGAAGCATCCTCGGGTGAAGGGGAATCAATTTTGTATAAACCGTGGGTCTGGCTGCCAGGGGCCTGAGGGGCGGGGCCCAATAGGGGAAACATAGCAAATTATTCTTTAAAATCCTTCTTCTTCTGTAGGAATGAAAGGATTTGTTCCATATTTGGTTTGGAGCATCCTTGGGTAAAGGGAAACTAATTTTGTATAAACGGTGGGTGTGGCCCCCCTGGGACCGGAGGGGCGGGGCCCAATAGGGGAAATAGAAGTAAAACCTTTATAATCCTTCTTCTATCATATGGATTAAGGGATTTTATCCTAATTTAGTCTCGAGCATCCTTGGACAAAAGGGACTCAATTTCGTATAAACAGTGAGTGTGGCTCCCATGGGAAGAGAAGGGCGGGGCCCAATAGGGGAAACATAGCAAATTCTTCAAATACCTTTTTCTTCTGTACGAATTACAGAATTTTGTCCAAATTTGGTATGAAGCATCATTGGTTGAAGGGGAATGAATTTTGTATAAACGGTGTGTCTAACCACCCTGGAGGCAGAGAGGCGGGGCCCAATAGGGGAAATATTGGATCTTTCTGAAGATTCATATGTACTTACCTACCATTGAGTGCTATCTATATCTTTACTTCATACCAATTATTTTAAACACATTCAGATGAGCGATACAGGCCCTCTAGGCCTCTTGTTTAATGTATTGTTAATATTGTATGTTTGAGATCGGTGTAGAGGACCTTCAATGATCCTGTTCCGGTAATAAACTGAACTGAACTTAGGATCCCTCTGGGATCTCTTGTTTCTTTTCATAAAATTTCTTCCTCCGTAAAGATCAATTTACTGCTGTTATGATATATATGTGTAGGTGTGTTGTGCAGAATGGATCCACTAACCATGTGTTATTCAGACTTTTAGGATTAGGCCATTTCTACTGCACCACTAGCTCAATTTCAAAGGTGTGCAACACATTCAAAAATTCAAACATTTGATTTCCTTGGTATTGCTTCCACAAAATCCAGGATATCAAAATTGATGCCATATACAGTTCAGGATGTACAATAAAGGGGTTGGATAGCAATCATAAAAATAATTCATTTCAATTGCTTTTGTTTTTTTCATTACAGGAACAAATTTTCCAAAAGTTGGACAAACAGTGGTAGTCCATTACACAGGTAAGCAACAGAATGGATCAAACAGTGGTAGTCCGTTACACAGGTACACAATAGAATGGATCATACAGGGGTAGTCCATTACACAGGTACACAATAGAATGGATCAAACAGTGGTAGTCCATTACACAAGTAAGAAACAGAATGGATCAAACAGTGGTAGTCCATTACACAGGTAAGCAACAGAATGGATCAAACAGTGGTAGTCCATTACACAGGTAAGCAATAGAATGGATCAAACAGTGGTAGTCCATTACACAGGTAAGCAACAGAATGGATCAAACAGTGTTAGTCCATTACACAGGTACACAATAGAATGGATCAAACAGTGGTAGTCCGTTACACAGGTACACAGTAGAATGGATCAAACAGTGGTAGTCCATTACACAAGTAAGCAACAGAATGGATAAACCAGTGGTAGTCCATACACAGGTACACAATAGAATGGATCAAACAGTGGTAGTCCATTACACAGGTACACAATAGAATGGATCAAACAGTGGTAGTCCACTACACAGGTACACAATAGATTGGTTCAAACAGTGGTAGTCCATTACACAAGTAAGCAACAGAATGGATCAAACAGTGGTAGTCCATTACACAGGTACACAATAGAATGGATCAAACAGTGGGTGTCCATTACACAGGTAAGCAACAGAATGGATCAAACAGTGGTAGTCCATTACACAGGTACACAATAAAATAGATCAAACGGTGGTAGTCTATTACACAGGTACACAATAGAATGGATCAAATGATGGTAGTCCATTACACAGGTACACAATAGAATGGATCAAACAGTGGTAGTCGATTACACAGGTACACAATAGAATGGATTAAACAGTGGTAGTCCATTACACATGTACACAATAGAATGGATCAAACAGTGGTAGTCCATTACACAGGTACACAATAGAATGGATTAAACAGTGTTAGTCCATTACACAGGTAAGCAATAGAATTGATTTAACAGTGTTAGTCCATTACACAGGTAAGCAGCAGAATGAATCATTGAAACATGCATATATTATTTTGTATCAAACAATAAATTTTTCAGCTATTCAAATCACTCTTTGTCCACGGTACATGGTTTGTGTTCTGTCCATTCTTAAACAATTCTTGTTAGTTCTATTTCTCAAAAAAATGCTACAGGGATCTTTCTCAAATTTTACATGAAGGTTCCCCATGGTCCCTTGTTACGCATATCAAATTTTGAGACTGGGGAAAAGAAGATGGCTGTCCGTAGGCAATGTCAAATTTTGAGCAATAATTATTGTGAAGTGTTTTATCTTAGAAAGCACTGAAGGAATTTTTCTAAAATAAAACAAAAAGGTTCCCCAAGGTGGCTTCTTATGCATATCGAATATTGAGACTGAGGATAACCAAGATGGCCACCAGACAGCCATCTTGAATTTTGACAGAACAGTTTTGTTATCACTCTATATATGTATGTTGCCCTTGGTCTCCTATTTAACAGCACCCCTGGCCCAATTGAGAATTCATCCATCATTGACAGCACTTCTAATTATGTAAGAATTGCAAATTTTTAACAGCCGCATGTAATAGTGATGCAATTCTTATACAATAACATTTGTCATAGTGGCAAATAACATATATAACATTACAAGGTTTAAGTTATTATACAAGATTCCTGTTTAGGATTTCCAATATTTAACATGGTTAATAGTACCTGTAAGGAAAATGAAAGTGGTACCAATTAAGCTTACCTGGTCAACGAAAGTGTCTTGGTCCAGCTGTGCTACAGTATATCGGAAACAAAATTAAGGGGAGGTTACTGTATATACAGAAAATCACAGTGCAGTGTGACAGGGATCCTCAAGTCCAAGGACTTTTGACGTAGGGCTATGTAAGCTTATGCTGTTGTGTATCGCCTGTCTATCATTTGTCCTTTAGGCATTAACACTTTAAACAACTTCTTGGTCACCAAGAGGCCTTTAAACCTATTGAAGTTCACAGGTCAAATGTGTGGAATATTTTGAAAAAACAAAAGGTTTAAGGTTATGATATTTTGCCAATAGCACATACTGATGAAGGGCTTCCAAGTTTGTTCAAAGCATGACCTTCACCCATATTCAGGGTCACATTGGTAAAATCTATTAAAACCCTTAAACGACTTCTTTTGGATAACCAATTCAAGTGCCTAAGTGATGATATTAGGCCAGTAGCATGCTCAAATAAAGAGCTATCAAGATTGTTTGAATGAATAACCTTTTGACATCAGATTTCAAGGTACCAGGGGTCTTGTGCTAAAAGACATTTAAACCACTTCTGATTAAGCAAAAGCCTACAATGTAGAATGTGATATTTGTTCAGTAGCATGCTGGGATGAAGAGCAACCAAATTTGTTGAAGTTCTTGGCCTACACAGATATTCAAGGTTACAGGGGTCAAATTAAACTGTTCAGAAACCTTGTTTGAATAACCAAAATCCCTTTTGTGGTTATATTTGGCCTGTATCATGTATGCAAAGATAAAGATATGCATATATCAAGTTTGTTGAAACCCTTTAAACCACTTCTTCTAAATAACCAAAAAGCTGATGAAGGGTAAAGACCTGTTCTCATTTTCACGGTAAGAGGGGTCAGTTGTGTTCGGAAGTATTTAACGACTTAAGCTTCTTCTGAATTACCAATGGTCTGATCAAGTAATGAAATTTGGCCAGTAGAAGGCCCGAAAGAAGGGCTACAAATTAAGTTTGTCAAAGTGGAGTACTTTTAACTCATTCACCCCTGAAGTTTCATAATGAACTATTCCAACCTTTGAATTGGAAGGGTTCAAATTAAAATGTGTCTTCAGGGGTGAAGAGTTAACTGACTTTCAAGGTCATTGGGTTCCAATTTTTAGCTCACCTGGTCCGAAGGACCATGGTGAGCTTATGCCATACCGCAGCGTCCGTCAGTCAACTTTTCCTTTAAAACGCTACTAGTCATGAACAACTGAGCAGATTTTGACCAAATTTGCTCAGAAGCATCATTGGGGAAAGGGGAACAAATTTTGTATAAACGGTGGGTCTTGCCCCAATGGGGGCTGAGAAGTTCACGCCCAATAGGTGAAATATAGCAAATTCTTTAAAATCCTTCTTCTGTAGGAATGAAAGGATTTGGTCCATATTTGGTCTGAAGCATCCTTGGGTGAAGGGGAACCAATTTTGTATTAACTGTGGGTCTGCCCCCCTAGGGGCCTGAGGGGCAGGGCCCAATAGGGGAAACATAGCAAATTGTTTAAAATCCTTCTTCTGTAGGAATGAAAGGATTTGGTCCAATTTGGTCTTAAGCATTATTGGGTGAAGGGGAACCAATTTTGTACAAACGGTGTGTCTGGCCCCTGAGGGACCTGAGGGGTGGGGCCCAATAGGGGAAACATAGCAAATTATTCTTAAAAATACTTCTTCTGTAGGAATGAAAGGATTTTATCCATATTTGGTCTGAAGCATCCTTGGGTGAAGGGAAACCAATTTTGTATAAACTGAGGGTCTGCCGAAGGACCATGGTGAACTTATGCCATACCGCAGCGTCCGTCGTCCGTCCGTCCGTCAACTTTTCCTGAAAAACGCTACTAGTCCTGAACGGCCAAGTAGATTCTGACTAAATTTGGTCTAGAGTATCCTTAGGCCAAGGGGACTCAATTTTGTATAAACGGTGGGTGTGGCCTCCCTGGGGGTAGAGGGGTGGGGCCCAATAGGGGAGCATCCTTGGGCCAAGGGGACTCAATTTTGTATAAACGGTGGGTGTGGCCTCCCTGGGGGCTGGGGGGTGGGGCCCAATAGGGGAAATATAGCAAATTCTTTAAAATCCTTCTTCTTCTGTAGGAATGCCAGGATTTGTTCCATATTTGGTCTGAAGGATCCTTGGGTGAAGGGGAACAAATTTTGTATAAACCATGGGTCTGGCCCGCCAGGGGCCTGAGAGGTCGGCCCCAATAGGGGGAACATAGCAAATTATTCTTTAAAATCTTTCCTCTTCTGTAGGAATGAAAGGATTTGGTCCATATTTGGTGTGGAGCATCCTTGGGTAAAGGGGAACCAATTTTGTATAAACGGTGGGTGTGGCCTCCCTGGGGGCTGGGGGGTGGGGCCCAATAGGGGAAATAGAGGTAAACCCTTGAAAATCCTTCTTCTACCATAGTGATTGAAGGATTTTATCCTAATTTAGTCCGAAGCATCCTTGGGTCAAGGGGACTCAATTTTGTATAAACTGTGGGTGTGGCCCCCCTGGGGGCAGAGGGATGGGGCCCAATAGGGGAAATAGAGGTAAACCCTTGAAAATCCTTCTTCTACCATAGGGATTAAAGGATTTTATCCTAATTTAGTCTGGAGCATCCTTGGGCTAAGGGGACTTAATTTTGTATATGCATTGGGTGTGGTCTCCCAGGGGGCAGAAGGGCGGGGGCCAATAGGAGAAATAGAGGTAAAACCTTTTAAATCCTTCTTCGACCATCGAGATTAAGGAATTTGTTCCATATTTGGTCTGAAGCATCCTTGGACCAAGGGGTCTCAATTTTGTATAATTGGTGGGTATGACCCCCCTAGGGGCATAGGGGTAGGGCTCTGTTTGCAGTTTGTTCTCGCCATATCTCAAGTACTGGATGGATCTTTCTGAAATTTCATATGTACTTCGTTACAGCACCTACCATGGAGTGCTATATCTTTACTTCATACCAATTATTTTAAACATATTCAGGTGAGCAATACTGGGCCTCTTGTATTATTGAATAACTGAATTCCTTTAAAATTATTGAATCTAGAAGAAAAAAAATGATTTTTTTTTTTTTACTGCTCCTGATACCGATTTCAGCATTAGAAAGCTTCAAAAACAAACATGGCAGACTTGCCGACATTTGGAGAGATGAAATTTAATTCTGTACCAAACATGTTTAGGTCAAATAAAAGAGAATGAATTGCAACAGAAAGGGCCATTTTGGTGTTAAGTATAGACTTCCAATGCTTTTTTTATGGTGTGAATAGGGCTTACTAGCACATTTAACACACATGAAAAGCAACAGAATGTCTTGCATCATGAATACAACATGGATGACTCCATGCGTTCTAATAGATATTGTAGTGAAAGTTACTAGGAATTTACAGGTTTAAAATATTAATTGGTTACCCTCATAATGATAGAATTAAACAGAAGCATAATGTCACTAGCCCCAAGCCTCTAAATTTCACTAGCCCAAACTGAAAATCTGGTAGTCCCATGGCCAGGCATTGGGCTAGTGGATTTTTACACCCCTAGTAACATTATATTGAGCCTGTAGCATTACTTAGTTCATTTGAATATAAATATTGACCTTGGTCCACTTTCAAAGTTGCAGATGTGAGATTAAACAGATGAGTGATGCAGGCCCATTGGGGCTCATGCTTTCACTACTATTTATGCTTATTATAAACGTCTTTTTTTAATGAAAATGTTTAATTTTGAAGGAACACTCGAGAATGGACATCAATTTGATTCTTCGAGAGAACGTGGCAAGGAGTTTGAGTTTAAAATTGGTATGGGTCAGGTGATAAAAGGTAGGTATTCTCAGATGTTTTCCTGAAATTGTTGTACTTTAATATACTTTTGATAGTTACCAGAAGCCTGCTTTACCTGATTCGTAACATGATGCCAATGAAATCAACTGAAGTGTTCGTCGTCAGTCCTTAAACAATTCTTGTTATCTCGATTTCTCAAGAAGTACCAGAGGGATCTTTCTCAAATTTTATATGTAGGTTCCCCTTGGTCTATAGCTTTGCAGGGCAACTTTTGAGACTGATCGGATAATCAACATGGATGACAGGCAACCATCTTGGATTTTGATAGTGAAAGTTTGTTATCGCTATTTCTCAAAAAGCACCAAAGGGTTCTTTCTCAAATTTTATATATAGGTTCCCCTTGGTCCTTAGCTGTGCAGGGCAACTTTTGAGACTGATCAGATAAACAACATCGCCGACAGGCAGCCATCTTGGATTTTGATAGTGAAAGTTTGTTATCTCGATTTCTCAAAAAGCACCTGAGGGTTCTTTCTCAAATTTTATATATAGGTTCCCCTTGGTCCTTAGCTGTGCAGGGCAACTTTTGAGACTGATCGGATAAACAACATGGCCGATAGGCAGCCATCTTGGATTTTGATAGTGAAAGTTTGTTATCGCTATTTCTCGGGAAGTACGAGAGGGATCTTTCTCAAATTTTATATGTAGGTTCCCCTTGATCCCTTGTTGTGCAGGGCAACCTTTGAGACTGATCGGATAATCAACATGGCCGACAGGCAGCCATCTTGGATTTTGATAGTGAATGTTTGTTATCGCTATTTCTCGAAAAGAACCAGAGGGTTCTTTCTCAAATTTTATATAAAGGTTCCCCTTTATCCCTCGTTGTGCATGTTATATTTTGAGACTGATCATAAAAACAAAATGGATTAAAAGAAGAACTAAACAGATCTTTCTCATATTGCAATGATCGATTCTATTTCTTTCACATTAAGTACTGTACTAGTAAATATGTGAAATGACAAACTCACTTTGTAGTTTGGCTTTCATACACATCAGTATTAAGTTTATATCAAAAGTTACCTCAAGGTTCATTTACTGTTAACATGACTCAATCAAACAGATTAGAGGAAAGAAGAGAAAAGATCGGAACTGACAAAGAACTAATGAAGATGGTACAATGGTGGGCGCCAAGATCCCTCTGGGATCTCTTATTTATCATCTCAAGATCAGAATAAAGCAAAAGTTTGATACTCATGAAAAATTTACAATATACTTTATATTCACTAGAGGAAGGATTGTCTGTAAAAAAGTGCAATTATGATGCATATGGCCCAAATAAGCTGAAAACTTTGAAATTGTAAATAAGCTAACTTCATATTTGTATATGTATGTTGTGTATAATTCTATCTTGTGTTTTAGGCTGGGATGAGGGAGTTAAGGAGGTAAGTAAATATGTACTTTCATCCAGGTAGTTAGTATGGAGATCGCGAATAAAGCCTTTTTTATACACCCGTCAAATTTTGATGGAAGTATTATGGTATGGGGTTGTCCGTCCGTCCGTCTGGCGTAACCTTTTGTTTGTCCGGCAATCTCCTACATTTTTCGACTGATCTCTTTGAAACTTGGTATACATTATTATCATGATATGAAGTTGTGTTTCCCTAAAGTGATTGCCCTTTGTTCATTTCAGTATTTTATTTTTTGGTCTGGAGATCTATATTATTAGCTCACCTGCCCGAAGTGCAAGTGAGCTTATGCCATGGTGTGGCGTCCGGCAGCTTTTTCCTAAAAATCGCTACTTGTCATAAACGACTGAGCAGATTTTGACCAAATTTAGTCTGGAGCATCCTTGGGCCAAGGGGAACCAATTTTGTATAAATGGTGGGTCTGGCCCCCCTGGGGCCTGAGTAGTGGGGCCCAAAAGGGGAAATGTAGCAAATTCTTTAAAATCCTTCTTCTTCTGTAGGAATGAAAGGATTTGTTCCATATTTGGTCTGAAGCATCCTTGGGTAGAAAGGAACCAATTTTTAGCTCACCTGGCCCAAAAGGGCCAAGTGAGCTTATGGCATGGTGCGGCGTCCGTCGTCAACATTTTACTTTAAACAACTTCCTCTCAGTAACCATAAGGCCTAGTGTGATGATATTTGGCCAGAAGCATGCTGGGATGAAGGGTTACCAAGATTGTTCAAATAGATTACCTTCATCCATTTTCAAGGTCACAGGGGTCAAATTTGTTTAAAAACTTTCAACAACTTCTTTTGAATAACTGATAGACCTAGGGTGATGATATTTGTCCAGAAACATGCCGGGACGATGGGCTACGAAGTTTGTTCAAATAAATGACCTTGACTTATATTCAAGGTCACAAGGGTCAAATATGTTTAAAACCTTTCAACAACGTCTTCTGAATAACCGATAGGCCTAGGGTGATGATATTTGGCCAGAAGCATGCTGGGACGATGGGCTCCGAAGTTTGTTCAAATAAATGACCTTCATCCATTTTCAAGGTCACAGGTGTCAAATTTGTTTAAAAACTTTCAACAACTTCTTTTGAATAACTGATAGACCTAGGGTGATGATATTTGGCCAGAGGCATGCTGGGATAAAGGACTACCAAGTTTGTTCAAATAAATGAAATTGACTTATATTCGAGGTCACAGGGGTCAAATATGTTTAAAACCTTTCAACAACTTCTTCTGAAGAACCGGTAGTCCTAGGGTGATGATATTTGGCCAGAAGAATGCTGGGGCGATGGTCTACGAAGTTTGTTCAAATAAATGTCCTTGATTTATATGCAAGGTCACATGGGTCAAATATGTTTAGAACATTTAAACAACTTCTCCTGAATAACCAATAGGCCTAGGGTGCTTAAATTCGGCCAGTAACATGCTGGGATGAAGGGCTACCAAGCTTGTTCAAATAAATTACCTTCATCCATTTTCAAGGTCACAGGGGTCAAATTTGTTTAAAAACTTTCAACAACTTCTTTTGAATAACCGATAGACCTAGGGTGATGATATTTGGCCAGAAGCATGCTGGGACGATGGGCTACGAAGTTTGTTCAAATAAATGACCTTGATTTATATTCAAGGTCACATGGGTCAAATATGTTTAGAACATTTAAACAACTTCTCCTGAATAACCAATAGGCCTAGGGTGCTTAAATTCGGCCAGTAACATGCTGGGATGAAGGGCTACCAAGTTTGTTTAAATAGATGACCTTGATTTATATTCAAGGTCACAGGGGTCAAATATGTTTAAAACCTTTCAACAACTTCTTCTGAATAACCGATAGGCCTAGGGTGCCTAAATTTGGCCAGTAACTTGCTGGGATAAAGGGCTACCAAGTTTGTTCAAATAAATGACCTTCAACCATATTCAAGGTCACAGGGGTCAAATATGTTTAAAACATTTAAACAACTTCTTCTGAATAACCAAGATGCTTAAGGTGATGATATTTGCCCAGTAACATGCTGGGATGAAGGGCTACCAAGTTTGTTCAAATAAATTACCTTGACCCACTTTCAAGGTCACCTTTTATAGTTGCTGTTACGACGTTGCGTAATTGATTACATCGGGATCAAGTCTCAACTGTCCTGCTGTGTGTGGCTTATGAAGCCTTGACGGTACTAGATGTCGTATATCGGGAATAGCTCGGGCAACTTGTGTAAATATTACGTATATAGGGAATATTAATCCAGATTACTATGCACGAAACAATAGATTATAATCGAGTATAAATATATAACCCAGGAGGGGGATAATGGGAGAGCAGGGCAAGGGACAGCTAGAGAAGAGGCCAGAAGGGCTAGGGATGGGCTAGAACTAGTACAGGTAGAGACAGCTCAGAGACGACTGAGAGTGAGACCAAACGATAGAGACCGATCCTAATAATGTTACCAGAATAAACTTTTAACCAACCATCAACCCTTGTCACTCGTGTTGTGTTACAAGGGCTACCAAGTTTGTTCAAATGAATGATCTTGACCCACTTTCGAGGTGACAGGGGTCAAATGTGTTAAAATCCTCAAACGACTTCTCAATAACCAAAAGGCCCAGGGTACTGATATTTGCCCTGTAGCATGCTGGGATGAAGGACTACCAAGTTTTTTCAAATAAATGGCCTTGACCCACTTTCAACCTTATGTCCTTGTTGGACATTCAAGGTCACAGGCGCATATATTTAAATCTTTTAACCCTTAGGCTGCTACGCACCACAATAGTGGTTTCGAAAAGTCGGGCCGTCAGTGCCACGCACGTCAATAGTGGCACTCGGTCTGTAGGTTTTTGATCAGTAAACAGGAAGTGTGAAAGCGGACTGTTGCTATACCAAATTTAAAGCGTATAGTAGAAGGCTTTTGATTGGTTGTTTTGTCATTACTTTCGATATTCCCGGCAATGTACCCTAGTAATAACCAAAGTGTGCGAGAGAATTTCAAATTGGAAAAACGTCATAAAAATGGCGGATATGTAGATTGAAGTGATGAATATGATGGTTAACATTTATTCTCCAGCGTCATCTATGATGATAATAAAGGTTTTAAAGGGTTTGACATGGTTGATGTGGAAATACTTCGGTGTAACATAATATGTAACTTTCCAAGGAACGGCTTTGTGCCCTACGCACACATGAAAATATCGGCGGACCAAGGCGCACATGTCGTCTTCAGTTGAGGCCGAATTGAACATTGACATTGATACGTTTTGAGCTGATTGATTTCTTCAAACTATTTATCGATGATTTAATCATAAACTAGAACGTAGCTAAGATATATCTATATGCCGAGAATCTCCGTGTAAATGTACAGCATCTTATGTCATAAATGAATTTTATAATCTCTGTTATCATTTTCCAATCACATTTACTTACAAAAACAATTTTAAAATGATCTTTCTGGTGCTTAAATCCGATTAATTTAAAGTTTCACCTTTTCTTACCTTTATTACCACCTGTACAGGTAAATACTGAAGCAACTTTAGAATCGAAAACGTTAATGTTAACTAGAGACAATAACAAACAATTTTCCTATAACTTTTATTCACATATAACAAATATTTTTCAAGTTATGCGCATTTGAAAAATTAAACAAATTAATTTATATTTCAATAATTAATTCAGCAGTGGCGTCCCTTTACATAAAAATCAATGTAGCAGCCTAAGGGTAAATAGGTTCTTATGAATCAAACACAGATATTCTGCCTGTAGCTTTATTTTAGTCCACTTTTAAGATTACAAGTGTGGGATTACTACCAGGTGAGCGATGCAGGCCCTTTGGGCCTATTGTTGTGAGTTTGAGAGAGAGAGAGAGAGAGAGAGAGAGAGAGGCAAATTGAGACAGGAGCCAGCGAGAGGGTTGCTGGTCTGATACAGATGACTTATTGACTTTATCAGTTTAACATTACAGGTCAACATCAAGTTTGCAAGATTTGGAATTACCTGCTTTGTAATAAACGAAGCATAAGTGAATCGGGATTGGACTGGTTCATTTGAAAGTATGAACACCTTAACTAACTGCAGTACAAAAATGAATGGGGTCTATCATGGTGTGGCTTATTCTATCACAGCTAACTCCCCAGCCAAGAACTATATAGCCAAATTCACGTACAAAACAAATGCTTTGTCATACTAATATGCTTCTATACTTTATTTCAGATGAGCGTTGGTGAAAGGGCAGTACTGACATGTTCACCTGACTATGCTTATGGAGATAGAGGCCATCCAGGAGCATATCCTTTTGAAGTGAAACCTGACAAGAATACCTGTCAGTAATACTCTTTTGAAAATAATGAATTATAGGGGAAGATATTTTTAATGATTTGAGATATTTTTTGACAGCAGAGATATTAATTATGAGGACATCAAACCCTTCAACTCTGCTTTTTATCAAGTCTAAGATAGCTACCATCGCCTTCAAATCTTTTCAGGTGAGTGACCAAAAACCCTTCAGTAGACCAACTTCACCTTATTGAAGGATCAAAATTTCAAAACATCTATACAAATTTGCAATATCCCAACTAACCCTATTAAAAACCTGACTAGTTAGTGGTAGGTACAAATGGAGTTGCTGACCCCCAAGGGGGCTGAGGGGCAGGGCCATATAGATTTAATCTGACTTCTTTTCTGAAACTTAAGAGCAACCACATTCTGCTTTAAGTATTCTTAGATGGTGGGGATTCAAACAACTGTACAAAAGGGGGTAATTTGGCCTTATTGCCTTAACTCATTCACCCCTGAATTTCCACAATGGACTATTCCAACCTTTGAATTGGAAGGGTTCAAATCTGTCTTCAGGGGTGAATGAGTTGAGCAACTTCTTCTCTGGAGTGGATATGAACCCCTCCTTACACTGTTGAGATCCCCTCTCTTTAGCCATATACGCAATTGCTGAGCATAAATTTTCATTATTAACAAACAGGATAAGGTAGATATGAATTTTTCTGATTGATATGAAAGTATATTAACACACTATTAAATTGATCTTATTGGAAATTATAACATTTTTGCCAGTTTCGCACTCGTGAAAAATATTAAAATATTAGCCAATAAACATTAGGGTTGTCAACAGTTAACAGGTTACTTGGTCAGAAGACCCCAAACCGGGTACCAAAATCAATAAACGAAAAATGGGACATTTATAGGGAGCTCCAATCTGCTCCACGTTTCCCTAGCTTATACCTACAAATTCTCTTATCGGTTGGACCCAAATTGGATTGTTTTGGCAATAAAATAACACTTTTGTATTTGATAGTTAGGATTGACAAAGAGATGTCAACCACACTAGAAAAATAACCTGTTAGGTAGGGATGAACTTTGTTTTTAAGTCATAGTTGTTAGGACCATGTCATTGTCTACGGAAATATTGTAAGAAATGAACTTCTCGGTAGATAAACCTTGGATTTAGGATCTGTACTGAACCCATTCTTCGATTACTTCCTTGACTGCAGATTACTATACCACCGAATGCCACCCTGATATTTGATGTAGAACTTATTAGACTCAAGTGAACATTCACCGCAGCACTGGATGGGTGTTCTTGTTTTCCTGTTGGCTATATATAGTCTGTAGGTTGTAGTGTATTCACACAGAATTTCATAATCAATTTTTGTATTCAACATTTAATTATTATATACATTTACTCATTATTGAGCTTCTGTAGGGTTACATTCTGCATGCATTTTTGTAAGACAGTTTTTTTTTCAGATTTCATTGTCAGTCTGTACATGGTTTATTTTAGAAACTTTGGTCTCATTAATGGGTCCTTTTTTTCAGTTGTATCAAATCATAGAGAACAATTTTAAAATCGTAAGTGATTGAGTTGTATAATTTTACTGATTGTCATCGAAGAACTGGACAAAAGTCTAAACCCAGTGTAAACACTAGATATATTGAACATGTGTTAAGATGAGTATAAGAACATATGTACGATGTCCTAAAGGAAGTACAATTTTAATGATGACCTTGTTCTCATGGCATCCGAACATTTAACATGTATTTTATCATCTTACTGTTCTGTATTTGGTATTATTTATTGTGTTATCTATGGCAGGATCACTTACCAAACAGCCATTGGATGTAATTTGTCAACATCTTTGAAAGTTCTTTTTGCAAAAATGAGAATATACTACTATTCAAAAATATTTTTCAATATAAATTAATTTCTTATTTTTTTTTACTTGTTTTGGCTTTGCTAAGCCATCAAAATGTATTTCAATTTATATTGACAACTGGTGAATTTGAAATATCTTGGCATTTTAGTATCTGGTTTAATTACGTTGATCAATTGAAAAGAAAACTGATTATTTATTGCCTAATTATAATGTAATGATTTTCAGACTTTAAAATAGTCAATGGTAAACAAGAACATTTTGGTTGTAACTGAAGCTCAGAAGATGCATAGGGGTAATTCTGTATACAAAATTGTAATACCACATATATGCCTTTCAAGATTTTTGAATATAATATCACATTAAAGCCGCACAGACTCGTTTTATGAGCATCAGAGAATGTAAAAAAACCCACTAAAACTTGGTAAAAATTGGATGTTTTTGGGACAATCCCTTGCCCCTTTTCAGGGAAAAAAATAGAATTTTAATTTACATCTCTACATCTGAGTTTGCAAAATACGTGTATGGAACAAAGTACATTTTAAAGTAGCATACTGTTTGTGTTTACAGCATGTTTAATATAAACATCTGCCTTACTTTTTGCTTCAGGTTGTCATAATACATTTTGGAATTGATATTAAAATTGATGTCTGTATGAAAGTGGATGGATGTTTTGTTGTAATTTGCTGCTGTAAAATTGTGTGCCAGACCCAATGAAATGATGTGGCCTATGTCAAGTTCCTTCATTTTTACCGCACCTGATCGAAAGACCAAAGTGAGCATAGGCCATACCCTTTAATCCATTTATCTGTCGGTCAACAATTTTTCAAATTACTTCGTTCAGGGCTGCTAAACAGAATTTCATCAAAGGTAGTTTTGCATGGCAGCCGGCAACTGATTGAATAATTTATAGCATACTGTATAACGCTTTAAAAATTTGTGGGTTCAATATTTCGCGGTTTTGTATCCAGTACAAATTTCGCTGTGCAATTCTGTTAAATGTGCTAAGTATTTTGAGTTTCACCTAAGGGTTAAACCTCGAAATACAGGTAAACCATTTGAAAACACCGATCCTGAGCATCGTCATCCGCCAGTAACTTCACTCGAAAGAAAATCGGATGTTTATGTACCTTTGTAGGAGTAAACTGTAATCAATAAATCATTTACAGTGTACACATAAATATGTTGTGTCCATATATGCAAGTGTTGTTTTTACATGGACTGCCCAGATGACCGTTGATAATCTGATTTGAGTTCATTTAAGCTTGCATAACAGCATTGGGTTATAAGTATTAGTGGTTAACATTTTCGATAATTTTGTTGGTGTTTAGAATTAGCGGATATTAGTCAAAGGGTGAAATTAAAACCCACGCTAAATATAACCGATATACGGTACATTAATTACTTGGCATGCCGATCTTGTGAATATCTTTGCAGATGATTCACAGGATAAGTCCAATTTCGGAACTCCTTTTTATTGAATACCAAAGCACTGAAAGTTTCGTAACCAATTACACGCGATCATAAAAAGGCTGTTGAATGTAGTTTTTAGGTCACCTGAGCTTTAGCTCAAGTGACCTATTGCTATCCGTCTTCGTCCGTCGTCCGTTAACATTTTACATTTAAAACTTAAAGTACAGTTCTGCTGGGCCGATTGAACTGAAAGTTGGTTGGAATGATCGACCCCATGGTCCTGACAAAGTGTTGTTATTTTTCAGGTCAATCAGAAATCCAATATGGCCGCCATTTTGAAAAACTATTTCAAACTTAAAGTCAAGTTCTGCTCGGTCGATTGAACTGAAACTTGGTAGGAATGATCGACTCATGGTCCTGAAAAAGAGTTGTTATTTTTCAGGTCGATCAGAAATCCAATATGGCCGCCATTTTTAAAAACAATGCATCTGATTGAAATTGTACCGTTTTTATACATTGATGGTTGTGTGAAGTCACACATGGGGTTAGGAAACGGTGAGGACAATACATTTCTTGAACTTCTTGTAGAGATGAATTACCATCTGACCTTGGTACATACATAAATATATGGCACATATCATGACTTAGCTTGTGGAGTATATATTTCATTGAACTACTCGAGCATAACTTTAACATCTTAGCATAGAGTGATGGGTCCTAGCTTCAATGAATATACTTACCGATGTAGAAAGATAATTGAGCTGCATTTCTTAAATGACAGTTTAATTGAAGCTTCAGTTAAAAACAAAAGACAATTTTTGGGGAAAAAGCGAATCTCGTATTTTGAATAATGTGCTGCATAACTTCTTTCAAGACATCCATCTAATCGGTCAAAGTCACCAGAAAACTAACAGGAGCAGACTTCAAGTCAAGGAAAAGATTTCACTAAAAAAGTTGAGGACAACTTTCTTGGTGAATTGTTCATAGGGAATATTCAATCGGAAGTTGGCAGTCCTTCAAATATTGATGACCATGCAAGGCAGTGTGTACCTACTAATCAAGGAGCGGGCATGTTATTCACGTGGACTTCCTGATCTGTGAATGCCATTACAGTTTGAAAAGTACAAACCAACGCTTTCCAACAAATATGCTTCACAGCTGGTAACTTTGCTCCGAAAAACTTCAGTCAATATTGCAAGAAATGAAGAATATCTATAATAATTGATGCCCGTCACTGACGCCTGTATGAAAAAGTCCTACCATACAGACCCTGTTACACTTTGACAAAAGACCCACAAAGTTGGTCACTTTTAGCATATTACAAAAGCAGATGAAAGTTTTGATGAGTTTTGATACACGTAAGTAAGCACATTGTCGTAGCACGGCAGTGAATAAAGGGAAACACTGTCAATACAAATATAAGATAGCATGCAGCAAAGCCAAACACCAAGGTGATTTGTAAAATTGGAAAGGGGATGATTACTCTATAAAGTCTAGGAACAACATGACATCCACAACTGAGAGACAAAGTGAGAAAACCTGTAACTTTGTAGGTGATATTTTGGAGCACATGCTCCTTTTCTTGCGTGTGGAACATGCTTTTATTTTTAAATCAGATGAAGAGGAGGAAGAGAATATGCTTGACGATAGCGACGATGATAACAGTAATTGGAAATGTAAATTGTCATTGAAACGTCAGAAAAAAGAAATGTTATAATGTAACGTATTTCAATTACTGAAATTCGGACATCATTTTCATTTATTTGCAAGTCAAACTTTCAACTGTTCTCATACTGTGAAGCACTGTTACCATTAACAGATACTGACGATGTCCAGCTAAGGTATGTCTGTCGGAAGAGGAATAGTCGATGTGGATTATCATGCCCGCTCCTTGATATGTCAATCACCCCACACACATTACCTTGCATGTTCATCAAGTTTTGAAGGAATTCCAACCACCGATTGAATATTCCCTATGAACAATTCATCATGGAAGTTGTTCTAAGCTTTTTAATGGTGGGCTATTCAAATCGCCCTGCGTCCGTGGTCCGTCCTTAAACAATTCTTGTTATCTGTATTTCTCAAGAAGTAGTAGAGGGATCTTTCTCAAATTTTGTATGTAGGTTCCCCTTGGTCCTTAGCTGTACAGGGCAACTTTTGAGACTGATCGGATAAACAACATGGCCGACAGGCAGCCATCTTGGATTTTGATAGTGAAAGTTTGTTATCGCTATTTCTTGGAAATTACTACAGGGATCTTTCTTAAATTTGATATGTAGATTCCCCTTGGTCCTAAGCTGTGCAGGGCAACTTTTGCGACTGATCGAATAAACATCATGGCCGACAGGCAGCCATTTTGGATTTTGATATTGAAATATTGTTATCGCTATTTCTCAAGACGCACCAGAGGGATCTTTCTCAAATTGTATATGTATGTCCCCCTTAGTCAATAGCTGTGCAGGGCAACTTTTGAGACTGATCGGATAAACAACATGGCCGACAGGCAGCCATTTTGGTTTTTGATATTGAAAGTTTGTTATCGCTATTTCTCGGGAAGTATCAGAGGGATCTCTCCGAATTTTATATGTAGGTTCCCCTTGGTCCTTAGCAGTGCAGGGCAACTTTTGAGACGGATCGGATAAACAACATGGCCGACAGGCAGCCTTCTTGGATGTTGATAGTGGTACAGGGTACAGGGTACTAGAATCAGGTACATTAGTGAAAGTTTGTTATCGCTAGTTCTCGGGAAGTACGGGACGGATCTTTCTCAAATTTTAAATGTAGGTTCCCTTTGATCCATCGTTGTGCATGTTATATTTTGAGACTGATCATAAAAACAAAATGGATTAAAAGAAGATCTAAACAGATCTTTCTCATATTGCAATGATCGAATCTATTTCTTTCACATTAAGTACTGTCCTAGTAAATATGTGAAATGACAAACTCACTTTGAAGTTTGGCTTTCATACACATCAGTATTAAGTTTAGATCACAAGTTACCTCAAAGTGCATTTACTGTTAACATGACTCGATCAAACAGATTAGAGGAAAGAAGAGAAAAGATCGGAACTGACGAAGAACTAATGAAGATGGTACAAAGGTGGGCGCCAAGATCCCTCTGGGATCTCTTGTTAATTATTATATCATTTCTAGTCTGCTCCTGTTGGTTTTCAGCATGGTAACTTTGACTGATTAAATTGATATCTTGAAAGGAAGTTATCCAGCACACTATTCAGAGTAGATTTGCTTATTTACCAACAAGTTGCCGGCTAAATATGAGCCTCACTGACTGGTTAGCTGTGTTACACACATGCTTGTACTCTGAATCAGGTCTCAGCTTCATATCACAGGATTCCCTACAGATAGGTTTTTCGACATACAACTATCAAACTTTTCCGTGACAGAAGATCACGAAAAACCTATAAAACAACCCTACCTAGATACTGGATGGAATTACTCAAGAACAGGTATATATTTATTGACATTTTCTTTTAGATGGTACAGTATATTTATTTACTTTACTGAAAGAATAACATGCTAAGAATGTCGAGTTATATGTGTGAATCATTCAAGACAGTATATATTCCACAAGCTATGTATATGTACATTTATTAATATATGTGTATGTGTAATAGTGGTTTTTTTATAAATCGATTAAAATGGACAAAATAATGAAATTGTCTAGCCCCTGGGGATGGGGGAGGAATCCCAATTTTACAATGCAAATGCCTCTTCCACCAAGGTGATTCTGACCAAGTTTGAATAATTTCCTCCTGAAAATGGACAAAGTATTCCCAAATGTATCGCCGATTGTGACAAAAAATGTAGAAGAATCAGTAGAATATACCGGGAAATTTGATATGGGGAAAAAAAGAGAGTTTGTAAATGTCGTTCAGGAAACGGGTTATGAAAGGCTGACCAATATTAATGAATTACTTGACATTTTACGGGAATTACCCCGCGAAAATGTACAACGCTCAGAAATAGACAAAGTTCGTAATGATATATTTAAATATTCGGCCAAAACGGTATTTGGGGTTAAGAGTAAGAAAAACCTAAGGTTAATAAACCCTGGTTTACTGAGGAATGTGGTATTAAAAGAAAGGCTTTTCATAAAGCTAAACAGAAGTATAAGAATAGCAAAACTATTAGAAATAGGAAACGATTAAAGAAAGCAAGCAAAAAATATAGACAACTACTTAACAAAAACTTTAAAATAAAACAAAGGAACATGGAGAAAGAAATAAGAA